ACCACGAGAAGAAACGTAAGCCTAGCTGTGAGTGTTTTTCTAATCAGCTGGGCAGCACTAGAATCTGTGCTGAGCGACCACACAGCATACAGAGAATACCATACTTAAGCCTTTTTACACATGTTGAATCATAACTGTTGTCTGCCAAGTTTCTTGCAGCTGTATCTAATACCTAATCGCTGTCAGATTTAGAATAAATTTGTCTAGATGGACCAGCAGTCCGACCCAGTCCAGCACTTTCTATTCTCCTGTAAAAGGAACTTTTACTTGAACTTTGCTCACTTGTTCAGGAATGAGTGCTAAACATCTATTCCATCCCATAAACTCTTGGTGCGTTTCATCTTTGTAGTATCCAGAATTGATACTGAGACAAATTAAAAATTGCACTTAGCTGTAGTGTTATGCACAACAGGCCCATAGTTTGCTTTAATACAGTGTCTGACTCTTCTCAAAACAGGCTATTTTATGTACTTGAGCATATTACAATGGATGTGATTAATCCTTAGTTATTGTATTGATGTAATACTAAAACAAAGTTCCCATCATGATTGCAGATTGCCTGAATTTCTGAAATTTAGCCATTTTATATCACTCTTGACTGACATTATAAGCCGCCAGTGATTATTCCTGATAATAAATAGCTAAAATAAATGTCTGGTTAAAATATTTAATGAGAATATATAGTTATGATCACGGCCTCTTTAAAATTCATTTGTGAACTCTTAAAATAAGTGAGCATCTTGCATTTTTTTGCTTGCAGTTCTTCATATCCTGCAATTAACTGTGGTTGTAATTATTCCGTTTTTTATTTCTTCTATCCTGTCATGATATAATTATATGTTGGCCATTGTTGGTGGCCTTTTAAAGCACATGATCTTACAGTATTACACTTGTAATATAAAATCTTTGGTTAATAGCAAAAGGATCAAGGAAAGTTAGGAAGCTTAATCTGGATTGAAAAAGGAAATACTTTGTCTTTATAATAAACAGTACATTATTTATATTAGTGCTCTCAACTGAAGACCTATCATACTCATTTTTACAGATATAGAAACTAAAACACAGGCAGGTAAAGTGACTGATGTAAAGTTGCATAATAGCTGTATGGATAATAAGATATAAATTAAGGCCTGGGGTCACCTGTTTCTTTGAGGTAATTTGACTTTTTGTCCTTTGAGAGAGAAACCAGTTTGGTGTGATTTATGCATTCTATTATGGTAACATGAAAGCAAATAGAATTTAAATAAACATATCACTGTCTAAATTAATATAATTTTCTTAAACTGAGGATGATTAAAACAAAGGCTATAGTTGAGGTTGATTAGTCAAAACATTGAGGAGTCTTGTGGCACCTTAGGCCTGGTCTCAGGGCAGTCCTTAGGATTTATGGTGCCCTAGGCGGGATCGTTAAACTGGTGCCCCTATGCCTGACTTGCTCTTTCACCCCTATCCCCTCCCCTTCCCAGAGACCCCAGCAGCCTATCCCCTCCCTCAGACTGTGCTGCAGGGCAGCGCATTCAGCCCTCTCTAGGACCCAGCCCTACTGTTATATGTGTAACCCTTTCGCCAGGTAGTCCCAGCAGCAACCAGGGCCGGGTTCAATATCTCGGGGTCCATCTCACACAGACCCAGCCCGAGCCTCCATCCAGTAGCCTGGGAAATTCACACACCCCTTGGTGCCTCTGAGAAGCAGTGCTTCCCCACTCACAAGCACAGTCTGAGTGAAGAAAAGAAACCTTTAATGAAAGACAGAGAAGTCACATGGCATTATCTTGGGAAAATACTACGTGGCTATGTCTACGCTCGCAGCTTCTTGCGTGAGTTATATGCAAATGAGGCTAAGCATGGAATATTGCTGAGCCTCATTTGCATACCTAATACTTACTTTTACTTACTGCCCATTACGCCAATGGCGCATAGGGCAGCAACAAAGTCCTTCCACTTCTGTCTGTCGCAGGCCAAAGCGCCTATTGTTCCCCAAGTGTGATGATGGTCTTTTAATTCTATTTCTGCCGTTCGGCGCCAGGTTGTTTTTGGTCTTCCTCTCTTTCTCTTCCCGTCTGGTTTCCAGTGGAGTGCAATTTTCGTAATAGATCCGTCTTCTCTTCGTAACACATGACCTATCCATCCATCCCCAGCGTCTTTTCATAATTATAGTGGCCATGTCTTCTTGTTTACACTGAGACAGTAGATCTTCTTTGGAAGTTTTATTTGGCCAAAATATCCTGATTATTCTTCTAAGATTCTTGGTATGGAATGTAGACAATTTAGTAAGGTCTCGTTGTATCATGCGCCAACATTCTGCTCCATAGAGAAGCACTGGAAGAACACAGCTGTTGTATAGTTTCAGCTTAGTGCGCATGCTGTACTTTGAGGATTTCCAGATGTTATTTATACTGATAAAGGCATTTCGTGCTTTACTCAGTCTATTCTGAATGTCTTGCTTACTTCCACCATCTGGGGTGATGATACTACCCAAATATACAAATCTATCAGTAAAGGGAAGATCGTTGTTATCGTTGTTAGGTACCTAATGCATACCTAATGAGCCACCATTTTTCAGAAGAGGCTCGTGCACAAGGAGTGTCTACACTGCCCCTTCTTGCGCAAGAAAAACCCTCTTGCGCAATGCTGTTATTCCTGAAAAGTAATAGGTGTAACAGTATTGCGCAAGAGGGCTTTTCTTGCGCAAGAAGGGACAGTGGAGACACTCCTTGTGCAAGCGTCTCTTC